GATTTTGATGACATTTGGTACAAACATGTAAACTTACGTTTATTTGAACGAGTTCGCGAACCAGCATGATCGGACCATGGGAACGGGGGTTTATGGGGGGTTTTATGGGGTAAAAAAGGGTTTTTTTGATTTTTGACCCAAAAAACATCAAATTTTGCAATTTCTTTCTAAGCTATTTTGTAGAGCTTAAAAAAACAAATAATTTAGTATATTGAAGCATTATAATGCGCCTAATGGTTACGGAGAAAATTACAAAAAATTGAAAATTTAAAATTCCCATGTTATTCTTATGGAGAATAAGTAAACTGTTGTAGTTTGCTTGTTTATTAAAATATTTTGCCCAAATTTGGAAAATGTTTTCATTTCTTACTAACTATTAACATTTTACGTAAAAAACACTTTTACCCTCCCTGTTGCAGCAAACCTAAGTATGTGTTAAACTGATTCTATTTAAATAGGGATAAATGTGATAATTTTAAGGAGACATTTTAGTGTAAATCCAATCAGGCAAATGGAAATTCGCTTAGTCTGCAGGTTTGCTGCGGCGGGGGTATTGTTACTTCTCCGGCGGCCATTTTTCTTTTGCGGAACACGCAAATTTTTGCTCATGTTTAAGGGTTTGCGTTAACTTGCAAAACTCGGTAACCATGAACACTAGAGTGATGAAACAATACCCCCGCCGCAGCAAACCTGCAGACTTAGCGAATTTCCATTTGCCTGATTGGATTTAAACTAAAATGTCTCCTGAAAATATCACATTTATTCCCTATTTAAACAGAATTAGTTTAATGAGTACTTAGGTTTGCTGCAACAGGGAGGGTAAACAAGTTTTTTTTTATGTAAAATGTTAAAAGGTACTGTGGTTTAGTAAGAAATTAATGTATTTTCCAAATTTGATTAAAATATTTTCATAAACAAGCAAACTACAAATCGGTCCCGGGCTTAGGTCTTGAGACCTACAGTAATAGCTACTTCCCTATAGGGAAATTCGCTAAAAAGCATTTTAATCTGGAAGAAAAAGCCGAAATATGATGTTCACTACATATTTATTGAAATATGTATCAAAAACAGTTTTCAACCCATCTCAACATTTCATAAGAAAACGGAAAATTGGAAAACGGCGTATTACCATTGGAACGAATAAAATCTCAGACTTGATTTTTTTGTGTCTGTAGCAACTCAGTAGAACTGTTTGTAGGTATTTCAAATGTCAACCCTGAGACTTAATTCCTTAAAAAGTTACCATTTTTCAAAAACTGAAATTTTTCAAAAAATTCAAATTTTGAGTCTCAATATCTTTGTTGGAACAAAGTTTAAAAATCTGAAATTTTTACCAAAAACCCCTCTTATGGTTGTTATACTGGTGTATAAATTTAATCTTTGAGATTTACTTTTTAGCTAAGTTACAGTTATCATGAAAATCGGAAAAAACCCATAAGCTCGGCCAACGACCCCCTGTACTGTAGGTAGCCTAGCTTAATTTATAGGTGTAGGTAATTATTTTATTTAATGTAAACTTACCTACTTTAAAGTAATGTAGGTATAGCTTTTTCTTGAAATTTTTTTGTCTTTGTGAAATTAAAAAGAAAACTTTTTCCATGTTATTTTCATTCAGGTTCGCACATTTTTTTTTCAATAAATATTTTTAGCTTATTTAAATTTATTGAACTACTTTTATTTTAATAAAGAATATTATAAATTTCACATAAAAAATCTGTTTGAAGGACAAGTTCTTAAAGAATTACCGGTACCTATATATAACTTTTTTTTTTACTTGTTATTGTTTTTTGTTCTACTTTGAATGTGCTAATTAAGAAGTTTGGATATTTCTTCATTCAGTTTGGGGATGATGTTGTTGTATGTCCTTCCAGTGGTTGTTGTCAGTTCCAAGAGATTTAATTTTCTCAAAACTTGTCTTTCTCATTTTTTTTTAAGGCGGTTGTTGGTCCTGCAGGATTTTTATCATGGTCACTGATGTCAATCAACTCTGCCACCCACCACTGTCATACACACATGCAATATAGAGTCTTTGGTATGAAGTGTAATTTGTACAGCTTTTGATGTTAAATGAACTTCATATTCAGTTGCTAGTGAGGTCATGAAGCACCTAACACTACTACTGTCCAGTGTACAGGAATAAAACAATGTAGGGTAAGCTTCTTGTTCCAGTGCTAAGATCCCCATTTCAAATTTCAATTCACTGTTTTTTTTTTGTCACTGTTTATCTTTAAACAGTTCTCAAATCGGTCCAGGAGTTTGTCGTTGTAGTGTTGAGCGATTTCTTTTCTGTTATGAAAATTATTTTGAGAGTTATTTTGTTATGAAATTTTTTGTTTTGTGACTCATTTACGACTTCCTGTAGGGACTGGAGACTGCATCAGTTCCTACAGAATATGAGTTATTCCTTATCAAAATACCATAATAGGTCTAAACACTTTTTTGATTTATGTTACAGGATAAGGTACATTAAATCTGAATGGAAAATCAATTTTATGACCTCAAAATGAATAGGCTAGAATTGACTAAGTTTTATTTAAATTGAATTATGAATAAAACTTAAAATTCAGCAGGATTTTATTTATTTTTAGTACCGTACCTACATATAGGGTAACTTAATTTGTAATTTGGGTACAAATCTTAAGTTATAAATAGGCCTATGTTTCGGATTTTTGAAATGTACATTAAGATAAGTTTACATTTAATAAAATAATTAGCTACACCTATAAATTAATCTTTAAGGTAACAACAGTACTAGCCGCGTTGGTCAAGCTAATGGGTTTTTTTTGCAATTTTCATGATACTGTAACTTAGCTTAAAAGTAAATATCAAAGATGAAATTTATACAGCCAGTATAACAACCACAAGAGGGGTGTTTGGTAAAAATTTCAGATCTTTAAACTTTGTCCCAACAAAGATATTGAGACTCAAAATTGGAATTTTTTGAAAAATATCAGTTTTTGAAAAATGATAACTTTTTAAGGAATTAAGTCTCAGGGTTGATATTTGAAATACAAGCAGTTCTACTGAGTTGCTACACACACAAAAAAAATCAAGTCTGAGATTTTCTTCGTTCCAATGGTAATACGCATTCAAAAGTTGAAATTTTTCCGTTTTCTGATGAAATGTTGAGATGGGTTGAAAACGGTTTTTGATACATATTTCAATAAATATGTAGTGAACATCATATTAAGGCTTTTTCTTCTAGATTAAAATGCTTTTTGTTTCATCACTCTAGTGTTCATGGTTACAGAGTTGTGCAAGTTAACGCAAACCCTTACATGAGCAAAAATTTGCGTGTTCCGCAAAACAAAAATGGCCACCATAGAAGTAGGTACCTAACAAAAGAGATAAAAAAAATTTTAAATCACTTTTGAACCCAGAATTGTTATAACTTAGGCCTAGGTATCTAGAATAATAATATTATTTATTTAAAAAATGGTCAAGCGACCAATTATTATATTTCTGGATCACTTGATATGGATAGACCCTGTAGGCCTAAACGTAGTATGTTTAACAACAGTGCTGAGGTTTAATTGTGTTTAATTCGATAACAGTCAACTAATAATCCACTGGAATATTATGTTTTGTCGTACACCTACAAAATTGACTTTGTTAATATACGTCAGGGTTGCCACCCCTCCCGATTTTGGTTCCTTATGCCCGTATTTTAAGCCTATGTTAATCCGGGGGGGGGGGGGAAGGGGGCCATGTCCCGATTTTTACCAAACCTAAGGTGGCAACCCTGCTACACGTACCGGTATGTGTAATTTATCAAATTCTTAGCAAATAGGCTAACGATTATCGTCCCGTCCCTTTTATTGGGTGCCATAAAATACCGTACTACGGAAAATTCGGTTTGGGGACACAACAAATGATAATAGTCTTAGTGAATACGTGATAGTAATGTCCCACCCAAAATTAGTCACACCCTAATATTTGTCCAGATACTATCTTAGCCCACAATTATCGTTTTGAGTAACACGTACAACGTAGGCCTACTGTACAACAATGCTAATAATTATATTGGCTTAGGCCTACCTTCAACAAGTGATCATCACAGCCACTGAAATATGCGTTGAGATTGAATTTAGGATTTAGAATTAAAATAGGTACAGCGCAAATTAACATATCGTAATAATTTACAAACTATAGCCTAATAAAACGTGAATCTTTCGTCGTATTCCTACCTGGTTATCACCAAAGTATAACGTGTCCTAATGATAACTCGGTTAATCACCATAAGTTAACTTGTCCTTTGTAAAAACTAACTTTAATCGATTAATACAACGTGGTGTTTATAACACAAACTGAAATAATAGATATTTACAGTGCATGTTAACTACCAAAGCCTCCTGAAAGACAGAACCGACACTGTTTACTTGTGCCTGCAGAATCCTGCCCGTAACATGTTGCATGATCTACGAAAATGCTAAATATAACTTTAAATAATTAGCCTATAGGCCTAGGCTATTACCTAACAGGTAGCCTAGGTAATGAAATTGAGAGTTATCATGTTGTTCTACTCTTAGCATGAGTTTAAATTGTTTCGTGATTTTAATATCGGCTGACGCCAGAAATTATTGCGTGGGGTTCGTGTTACCTACGTTAGGATGATAGCTGTAGAACGACTGACTGCCCAGGGGGGCTTTTTGAGCGGTTCTCTCACTACCGCCCCTGGTGTCGGGGTTGAGAACCACGGTCATCTCCTCCATATGACGTCACTACATCCAGCATTTGTTGCGGCTTTTGCATGATTATTTGGGATAATCGTGAAATATCACCCCCAGAAAAAATCTGACACGTTACACATTCAATAATATATCGTACCTAGGCTCTGAGACGACGGAATGACTGCAGCCAAATAACATTAAATAAAGGTTTACGGTATACATCCTTAAAATAACAAATTAATTCCTAACCCAACCTTAACCATCTGGTAGGTCTACCTTTTAACTTAGTAGCCTAGGTTTATATTTAGTTTAACATTGAAAACCACGTACCTGAGAGGGCTCTGAGTACCGGTCACTACCCCCGCTACCGACACCCACAGGCACTGTATTAGGAACGGCTTCGTCACTCGGAGACCGTCTTCGTTTACGCTCGGGAGAGTTGGGCCTAAGCTGCCTTTGGTCTGGTGTTCTTACCATAGGCCCCACAACATTTGTCAGTGGCAGTGGTTGGTTCTCGTCAGCTCTTGAGCTATCCCTAGACTCTGTTAAGCCACGAATTTGCAGAGCAGTAGCAGTCTTAAGTATGGATCCCAAATCCTCTTGTCTTACGTTAACTTCACCACGATACATAAAATCCAGCAATATTTCCATCTCTGTCGCAGTCACATCTTTGAGGAATATTATGGGGTGTGGATGTTTATTTTGCAATAACAGTTTTTCAAAATAAGGACTACATGCTGAGAGAACTATTTGGTGTGCTTCAATTCTAGTAACATTGTCATCCAGGGGACCACAGTTCACAGCGAGTGTCACATCCACTAAATTTCCCTCTACATAGTGTTTGGTGAACACTTCACTGAGGTTTGACTTATGGTTGTTCCAACGAAGACAATACTCTTGATCCATTTTTCTAAACTTCTCCAGTTGCAAGAACCTTCAAAACCTAAAACATAGAAAGCAGACATTTTTGAGAATGTGCAAGTTGCAATTATTAAGTCAGATTAAAAAACAAGCTTACAGTAACTTGACTTAAACCTCCTTAGTGTTAATGTTTGTAAAAATCTTTAAAATTAGGCATAAACAGGTACTTTGTAATCTTAAGTTTAGTTTTCAATAAAAATAAGCCTCAACAGACTTACAAGCTAAGTTATATACTACTTTTATCCTAGGTAACAAGGTGAGTTAAGTTTTTAAAACACATTTTACATTTGTGCCTACCCAACAATAGACTCAAACATTTGCGCAGCAGCTAAAAAATAAATGCATGGGGGTCCTAAGTTTAAACCACTGTAAGTTATTATTAACTTGGTATCTTTATTTTAAGGCTATAATGAGGTTTTTAAACAATATTGGTTTCAATTGAATTACTGCAGGGAAATGTACATTGTAAGCTACAAATAAAAGGAAATGGTGAGAACCAAGACTTTTCAGTTGAGAGAAGAAGTAGCCTACAGTGTAACATGATAAGAAGACCCTCGATAACAAGTCACCCTCAATAACAAGTGTCATTTTCAAATTCCATCGAATTTATTTTATCCCAAATCACATGTTAACTTATTGCAAACCTCAATAAGGAGTCAAGCCTTGATTACAAGTCTCATTTAATAATCCCCATGAGAGTCTTGTTATCAAGGTTCTACTGTAAGTTACTTACCGGTACGGTTAAATAATATAGGCCAACTAAGACATCTGTTATTGACCAAGATTTTCAGTTCCACCCATACAGCCAGCATTTAAGTTTTAACTAGGCCTATTTAAGTTTTATCACTTTTACTCAGGATACCGAAACCCCGGTCTGACAGGCCCATGGGAATTTTCACAAACGCATGTTGGCAGCACTGTTTACACTTGGAGGGATTCCATCCCCCAATACCTTCCCCCCTACCTTTTGATATAGGCCTATTGTTTGTTCATTTTGCGTGGGTGCCGTAACCTTGACAGGTTGTATGTTAATAACATGCCCGTCTCAGAAGCCCAGCGTAAGTGTATTATAAAGCGGGGTCTCACAGGCCCAGTGTTTTGGTTTAGGCCTATGTGTTTCTAAGCGGGGTCCATTATTTTCAAATGGAGTATCACAGACCGGGGGTTTTGGTCCTTTAGCGTCAGCCTGGGTAGGGTTTTGGTATTAGTGTTGAAGTAGGCCTATTTATTAGTTGCTAGGTCAAAGGCGTAGCATTTGAGCCAAGTAAACAATAACTTACTTATGTTGCATTAAGGCCTAACTTATCTTAAAGCAATTGTCAAAATAGACCTAGGCCTACCAGTTAAATTACAAGTAAGTTAACTTTAAGTTTAGGTCTATAGGTTAATCATATAATTATTTATTATTCATAACTGCATATACATTTTGGGTACAGTTTCTTAACTGGGCTATGCTAATATTGATTGAAACTATCGAATTAAAAATATTGATTAATAATCAATATTTTTAAATATTTTTATTATAAAATAAAACTATCATAACCTAACCTAACCAACCAAACTGGCTGATGGTGAAAAAATCGCATGAAGGTTTAGTAATCGAATCGATTGTTTCAATCAATATTAGCATAGCCCAGTTAAGAAACTGTGCCATTATGTTCTAAGGCTACGTGGAGTAAATCAATTAAAGTAATCTTTTACCAATAGGCCCTACTTATCAGATTAATTTGTCACAGTAACTTAAGTTAAATAGGCTAGGCCTAAGTTAACCTTTTGAAGTTAATTTAATAGAGTAGGTTAAGTTTAGATTTAGCCTATTTAAAAAAGAAAATAAGAACACAGATTAGATTTGCATTTATAAAATGCAAATTAAACCACTCATCAAGGAAGAGGGTCTATAGTTGTGATTCAGATTCCATCATAAGCCAGAGGGCAATGAACTTGTAAAACAAGATATTTGACATCTAGACTAGACTTTGTATTTATCTAGATATTACTCATTCAAAATACTAAAACATTATGACGTATATGAATCGAATACTTAAAGAAGAATAGTAATACTACTTTTTGTAAATTTATTTGTACGATAAAAGAAGATACAAGAATACATTTAGCAATCGTTCAGGTTTAAAATAATAGGCTATAGGCTATTATTATGATTCGCCATTTTAGTGTTATTCTGGAATGCAATGCTATGATTTACTCAAACGGAATTCATCACCAGGACTAAATTGGGTTCATATTGTAATAAAATACTTCGCTAAAAATGTCGTATGACGATGGCCAGCATAACCATTAAATTACATGAATGATTTTAATTTTAAATAATAAATCTTACCTTTAGGCCCAACTCCTCCATTTAACCCGAACACCGCTTTTCCAAAACCAGTGTTACAGCTGGTATGATCAATGATTTGGCTCATATTTTCGAATTGGTTGGTACTATATAAAATACTTAGCACTTGTTTGCTAAGTAAAAAAATTAATCGTTTTTAATATTGCTGCACTTTACAATTAATTTGAGAAGCCATAACGCTTCATGCTAAGTTGGGGTTCTCTTTTAAATATACTGTATTCATCGATTGCGGTTATTTTTATCCAAACTAATAGCCACAAAAAGAATGATAGTTTAATTAGAATATTGATAGTTATAAACATTTTAAACGTGTAATGCCTCTAATTTAGCTTTGTGACTAATTTAAATTGTGTGTATCATTAACAATACATACTATTTATACACTTTGGAGCAAATTAATTTATGTGACCATAAAATGTTTGATCATTGGTTATAAATTTATAGATAGTCAATGGTTTTTCCCAAAGCAAAAATTTTTTATGACGTTAAAAGTGACTCTCACACAGCGTCATAATTTGTTGTTGTTATATAATAGAGTATAATGAACTTGTAAAATGGCACATCTTATTAACTTTCTTTCTTGTAGTTTGAGAACAGCGTAAATTCATTGTATCAAACGACTCACTCACGATATGCAGGCTCTGAAGCGCAACATGTTTGACACATTTAATTAAGGATGAACTTCTATAACAGTTTTTACGCCACACTACATTATTTTGACGAACTTCCCACGCAAGGATTTAGTCCAGAAAACAGCTGTTTGCCGCCAGCTTATTCAAATGGGGTTTCATTGCGTACTACTGTGCTGCAATGAGTTTTGCCGGACACCAATCAGCTGATTATACTGTATTTAGGTGGCAGTGAGTGGTTATAAACAAAAACATAACCTCTATGACTAGTGATTTTTAGTCCTTTAGTTGGTGGAAATATATAAGGATTTGTACGGATTTAGTAGTATGGCGTAAACTATCGTACGTAACTCGTCCAAAATGTGTGTACCGGACTCGTATGGTAATCCCGTACTCGACTTCGTCTCGCACGGGAACGACCACACTCGTCCGGTAAACACTTATCTTCAGGACTAGTAACGTAATATACTATTTCAACTATATCACAGTTCAGTAAATTATTTTGAGTTGTTTATATAACTGCAATTTTGTGGTTACTGTAAAGATTACATCACAATATTTACATCCTTCTTCAAGAAGTTAACAACATATGATACTCGTATTATCTTGTGGGTGGGTGGAGGAATACTGTCGACATAGCTCGTATTCCCAGTAGAGTTTTCAACCGATGATTTCCATGCATCAGAGTTAGAGTGTATATATTGGCACTAAGTAGTGTTCTCTCGGAGTTAACCCAATCAGTTGCTTTTGCTTTCTTGGTCATCTTGGTGAAGATACCAAACTTGAAGAATTTTGAACGGTAAATGGGTAAATATCCCTCTCCAAATAAGTTTTGGCAAGGTATTTTTTAACAGTCTATTTTAATATTTGTTTATTTCAATATAGGCATGGATCAACTCGATTTATTAGGTACTGCAATGTTTGTTTCTACAGTAACCTTTGTGGTATAACACTGATATTCTTCTGTAACTAAGGAAATGTAGGTTTTAGCTAGCTTGTAACTTGAAAACATACTAAAGAACACAGCACGTCCTAGTAAAAGTTGATATGTGTAAATGTTATGCTTTAATGAAGGGACATTAATCTGAAAATCATTCAGCATACAATCATATTTTTTAAGATAACTTCTAAACATGAAATGATAATGTGTGTATTTATAAACCCTTGCTGGATTGTAAAACATAATACAGTCAAAGTCTTTTTTTATAACTAGTCCTAGCTAAGTTGTATAAAACAATGTAAGAGAAGACACTCTTCTATTCTAAGCTAATCTAAGACTAGGTTTTAGTTAATTTCTATGTAAGGAAGGAATTAACTACCTATTACTTTCCTATCACACAATGTCTAAAAGATAATTATTAATATTTTACAATAAATGCCGTGTTATAAAGTAACACAACGGGCTATAGAAATATTAAAGCCCTCAACAAATTCCACTGGTATTGTCATTTTCCTCAGTATTGCTATTTTAGGTTAGGATGAGTGTGTAGAATAACCTAGAATTTTACAAAAAAGAAGAGAAAGAAATGCTCTGTAAGTGTCAGAGAAGTTGAAGAAAAGACAGAGTCTTGTTGTACCAAGTATTGCCGTAACAAGTGTTGTCACAATGACAGCTTTACAATTGGTTGTGGTGATCCAGAATCTTTTATTAATAACTTTCCCGTTTTATTTGTTGAGTTAAAATTGGATTTTAATTTGAGCCAAACATTCTAAATTGTTATTTTAAAGCATTTTAATCACTCCTACAAATGTTATCCATGAAACATAAACAATTCTTTTGATTTAAACGATAATAAAATTAGATAATGAATCCTGTAACATTATTAAGACTACCTAAATCAAAGAATACAAATTCATCTTACAGATTTATTATTTTGAATCTGCTGAATACTGTTAAGATATGTCTGTGCATTGACTTTTGGATACTGACGTAGACATCCCATCAAATGGATGATATGTAGCATTTTGTTTACAACCGTAGGTTGAATGAGCTACTCACGGAGTGCACTTACGGTATACAATTTAATTTTGTCCTCAGTTTTGTTAATGAGATTTAATGTTTAACTAGCTGTTGTACCCGTGCTTTGCAACGGGAAGAGGACACAAAATAGAAACATTTTAATCTTTACATCTGCATATGTTGCATATAATAGTTACACATCCCCCAACGCTTTTAGAAACAAAATTCAACTTTTATAGCCTTAATAGAAACGTTTAAGTTATATGACTTTTAAATCTGGTAAGTAGTGGGTACCACCATTTTGGTTTTGATTAATTTTAAATCTTGTGTAGGCTGATATGAGAAAAACTTACCAAATCTTTGAATAAAACATTGACTTACCTTCATCTTACATATCTTTTAATTTATTATTGACATTTTAAATTTCAATTTTGAAGTTGCAAAAATACTAATTATTAAATTTAAATGAAAATTTTTTTAAATTTCACTCTTCTTTATATTAAATCACAAATCCTTCCATCTTCATCTTCAGTTTCTTCACTCACAATAAATCATTAACAAAGCTAAGTCAGCTGTTATAAACTTTAGAAATATTGCTGTGCCTTATCAATACAGTTTTTTGAAATATTAATGAAACTATATCTATAGGTACTATAAAAAATGTTAAACAAATAATTTAGCATTAAAGACAGCAGACAAAACTAATATGATTATCAAGGACTAAAAAATGTAATAGCAAATACAGTATATGTTTCATTGCATCTCTGATTCCACCCTACAAAAAATCAACAAACAACTTAATATACAAACTCGTTCTTTTAATCAGTTCCATCGTGCATTGCCTTTACATTTTCACACTTACCATTAAGTAAACATAGTAACAGATATTTCATTGATTTTAGAAACAAAAGAACACTGTGTACTGCTTAGTTTTATGATATTTTCCTTGGTTTAATTTAATCAGTGGTGTGGCAAAACACAAATAATAAATGTATCAAATAAAGTAAATGTGAACTGAAATTTATGTTAAGAAAAAATAAGAGTATTTTGTATTAGCATTTGATAATTAAATATAGTTACATATATACAACAGATTTTAGAACACAAAAATCAACGTACAATTTAGTTATTGATGATATTCTTTAGTTTAATTTAAGCGAGCATAGGTTTAGCAAAACACAATAACTTAATTTTCCTAAATATACATATAAAAAACAATGTGATGAGCAAGTTATGTTAAGTTAATCTAATACATGCTAAGCAGTTAGAATTTATTTAAATTAGTCTTCAAATTAATTCTGTAATTTAATACTGTTTCAATGAAAACATATCAATAACATTATTTTCATAACTTATACGCTTTAAAAAATCCAAAGCAGAGCCGGAGTTGATACAGCAATGGTTATAGAATCTTTTTTTTCTATAATCATTGACATGGTTTTGGAATAAATAATCCATGATAAAAGGTTAGATTAAAATAAACCTACCTCATAGTTATGGAAAATATCATATTTAATTTCTTTGTATCAGCTGTCTGAAATTGTGAAATATGCAGTTTAGCAGTTCTTCTTGTTTACATTTAAATGTCAAAGCAAATGTAAACAAACATTGTTAGTATTCTCATCACAGCCATGGAGACCAATAAATATTTACTTTTAAAATGGTCACTTTAGGACTTTTAAAGCCAAAGGGGCAAAGCCTACGGTCAGTATCGAAATTTGAATAGTCCTATAATGGTCCTTGGTATGGTAGCTACATTTTTGTAAAATTTAAGCCCAGTTGGTTCAGTAGTTGTTGCACCTATTAGTAACACACATACAGACAGACACCATTAGATTTTTATATAATAGTATAGATATACTTTACAGCATTCCACAATTCTGCATATTATGCAATAGGGAGAAGACTACTTGCAGTATTCAAAGCAATGCCGATTCTTGCAAAAAAAATTTGCAATCCTACTCGACATAATAAATATTATTGTCCATTTTAAAAGTAACTTGATTCCCTATTCACTATACTAACACGGCCATAAAATAACCTCAAAAATCTACAAAAGAAATCAACAATATTGTTACGAAAGCGAAAATAAACACACTTTCAACAATGAAAAGTGATAGGTTTTGTGAAAGAATAGTCTGTGATAAACAATGGTAATGTCCCCCTTTTCCAGTTACCATCAAAATAAGCTAACCTTAACCTCATCTGTTACACTAATGGACTTTGTCAACATGTGTAAGTGGGCCTATTTGTTTTTTTTTCTAAAGCGTGGAATAATAATTAACATTGAAATTAAGTAGGCTGAAAGGATTTCCTTTAGTATTAGTAGTAAATGAATTGCCAATGGTTAGTTTTTTTTTCAAATTCTATACGAATTTGAAAACCACAAAACAATACTTTTAAAGAAATATTGATTTTTGCTCATATATTACGTTTGTAAGAATGACAAATGTATGACGAGTATGGTTTATCTATGCTATAGTAAGTTAACCATGCTTGAGACGTCTATGGAAAATTATGCATTTATCTGCATTTAAATTGTATTAACAACATTAAATGAAAATATAATGATACAGTTGTAGATGATAAATTTATGTAGCTAAATATATTATTTTAATGACATTGAAAATAATGTGTGATAAAAATATAAAATCAACAGCTACAGTACATACATTTTATAAGAAATTAAAATTTCCATTCTATAATTAATTACATCCATATCTGGAATGTAAAATAAAACGCGTACATACTTACAAGGATGAAAGATATTTTATGTCAATTTAGAAATTTGAGTTCATATACAAACTTTCATCCAATTGAACAGCAATATTTTAAAACCAAACACTTTATCTCGTAAAAACGTCATATAATTGCAATCTCAGGGGGTTAAAACCGATCAACAAATGGCTGAAAATGGAAAACAGGACAGGGAATGCTGAGAATGCTGTAATCAGACACAGGATTCCACTTTGAATAATGGAAACCACAGGCTAGTCGGGAAGGGTTGTCCGTGTGGACAGACCTACCATTAGAACTGTTTGCTGATATGTCCACCCTTAAACTTGACAATGTACATTACCTTCAGCTATGAGGAGCTTCCTGACTGATATCATCAAATGCAACCATTGGTACACTCATATTCATAACTTTAATGTTTAGTATTTCCACAGTTAACGGATGCAGAGTGTTGTTGATAATGTTTCGTCCTTTTCATACTTTATATAGATGCATGA